ACTTCCAGCTGCACCGTGATGCGATCACTTGGTGCCCCAGCCACTCATTAACCCACCAGCTGATGGGGCCAGCAGCCTGTTTTCTCCCCCAGCCATGGCCAGCGCCACCCCTGTTGGCTGCTTCCAAGTCTGGCTGGAGATGCAGCTCCTGGCTAGTGGCTGTGAACCTGTCGGGATGCAGGACTGTGGCAACATCAGGAATTCCTGCAGGCTCTGACGCTTCACAAGAGTGAGTCACAGCCAAAGCTGACACCTTCACCGTAGGTGCTAGAGGATAGGGAACTTGGCTGGGACACCCCTGAGTCTCGTGAACTCTCAGCATGCTCATTCAGCCATTCATGCGTGGAGCATTTACTAGGCCTTCTTAACATCAGTGGCTACTTGGCACACACATGTGAACTTGACTTAGGGCTCTCAGGGAGGGAGGGGCATCATCAAGATATAGACGTGCAATGAGGAGTCTGCCAAGCTGACTGCTTCCTAACTAGGGGCCGATTTTCATTGGTTCCCAAGGCAGCTCCCATTAGTGTCCATGGCAATTATACCTCCTGGAGTCCCCCGGGGCTTTGTACCTTTAAAAGTTATAAGGCACTTTCACAAATGCAAGAGATATTTATTTTTCCTCTTGCCTTGATGTCATAAAGACCAGCAATGGAGGATGTGGGGGTGCTCCCACCTCTTGTCTTGGCCAAGCCACTTAATTGGCAGCCAGGCAGGCATGGCACTGGATTCAGACAGACAAGACAGGCTGAGCCTAAGGAGTGAAACAGGGAAATGGTCACATCTGGCACAGCGGCACCTGGCTTGTGTGGTAGAGGCTGCTAGCTGACCCTTGACATCCACTGCTTCTCCCCTTTGGGTAGCAGACCCCCTCCCACCCAATTTTAGCATGGTATACGGACTCTCCCAGCCTCCCCTGGAGCTGGCTAAGAACCCAGGATGGGGGCAGAGGGTGGTGTGCAGTTCCTGAGGAGCTAGCATTGTGGTGCTGTGGGTAAAGCTACCACCTGTGACACTTGGGTTGAATTCTGGGTGCTCCACTTCCAACTCAACTTCCTGCTAATGTGCCTGGGAAAGCAGCTGAGTATGGTTCAAGTGCTTGAGCACCTGCATCAAAGTGGAAGACCTGGATGAAGCTCCAGGTTCCTGGCTTTAGCTTGGCCTAGCCCTAGTTGTTACAGCCATTGTGGAGGAGGGAGGGGGTTGGGCAGTGAACCAGTCGATAGAAGCTCTCTAATTCAGATTGATAAATCACTCAACCTTATAAACAAAGGCAACTGTGGGTCCATGATTGGCATCAGTCTCCTGTTCTGCAGGCCGTAGGAGGCCTTGTTCCTTTTGGGTCTGCTGCCCCCACCTGGACTTAAGTAAAGGACTAGATGCATTCCCAAGCGCAAGCAATGAGTCCTAAAACAAGACTGGTTTCAAAAGAAGTCTTTTGTGACTGCCTTAGAACAAAACTTGTCTGACAAGGGGCAAATTGCGGCTATGATAATTAAGGTTCAAACCCAGACGGAGAGCAAGCCCTCTCCTGGGCACCTCAGCTGTGACTGACAGCTGTTGTTCCAAGCGTGGTCACATGGATCAGCTACTGCATGTCACAACCACACAAAACAAGAACTACTAGTGTTTCCTGTGTACAGATGAAGGGGGACGATCAGAGATGCTGCCTACGTGCTGGGGCTGTGGTTGGGATGCAGGCAATCAGACCCCATTAACAGTACTTTTAAGAGTTTTTTTTCCCGTTTATTTAAAAGAAGATTGGGAGGGAGATCCGTCCATCTGTTGCTTCATGCCCCCAGTACCTGCCACAGTTGGGATTGGGCCAGGCCAAAGCCACGAACTAAGAATGCTATCTAGGCCTCACGTGGGTGGCAGGGACCCCACCACTTGATCTGTCACGTGCTGCCTCTGTGGGTGTGCACTAGCCGGAAGCTAGGAACAGGATCAGGACGAAAACTCGGGAACTCCACCTTGGCTTCCAGGTGGCCCAAGTTATGTGTTAACCATTGTGCCAAATATTTGCCCCATGTTCAGTCTCTCAGTCTTAGTGAAGGTGCTTCCAATAGCACCTATTCATCAACCCCTTGCCTTCACCTCCCCCTCCATTATTTTCAAAATAATAGATTAAATTGAGTCACTGACCAATTCAGAGAAATAAAATACTAGGAGCCAGGCCCAGTGAGGGCCAGGTGAAAGCTAGAAGCCAGGAGCTCAAGCCAGGTCTCCCATGTGGGTAGCCGAGACCCAACTAGCGGGGCCATCCATGGGGCCTCCCAGGGATTGCCAGGCTTCACAGTCATCTGGGATCTTATTTAAAACACCAACTGCCCAACCTCAGCCCAGACCTAATTAAACAGACTTGTGGGGTGGGTGCATTGCCAAAGAAACCTTCCAGGTGTCTCTAATATATGCTGAAGTTGGAGCACGCTGGGCCTCGGAGGCAGGAATTGAGATGTCCCTTTCTCCTGGGAGAAAGTTTTGTACTTAAAACAGGAGGTATTTCCCAAATCACTGTCTACTTGGAGGTTTCAGATTTGAGCTGTCTTGGTAAAGCTTGCGTGGAGAATTCTCACCAGATCCAAAACCAGAGGTGCTATTGGCTGCTTATGATTAACCTGGAAGATTACAGCCCAATTCAGCGTAGGAAAAAAAGTCATGACAACTAGCCTTAAAGCTCTGGGAGGAGAAAGTGATCCTTAAATAGTTAAATTCCTTGGTACTTCCTCTTTTTAAAAAATTTCTTCAAAGACTTGAAATCCTCTTTAAACATTAGCATTTATCATTCAGGACAGGCAAATGCCTTCTTTAATTTTCTGCAGTGTCATTTCATGGCCCTGAAAATTGTCTGAACAACCTTTTGGAAACTCAGCCAGAGACTGCCTTTTTATCATGAGATAGGAAGCCTGTCTTGACTGACTTGGTCCTTGCTTAGTTTCACCACATTCTGTGCTGCCTGCAGCCTCCACTGTACTTGGTTAAGACCTGGAAGCATCGGCTGTGTCCACTTTCTGCATGTCTGACTTCAACAGGGATGAGCTGAAGACTGGAATGCATTTCCCTAGAAAGTGTCACTCAGCTTTGAAAATGGAGACTACAGGGGCTGGCACGGTGGTAGAACAGAGTAAACCTCTGCCTGTAGCACCTGTGTCCCATATAGGTGCTGGTTCAAGTCTCAACTGTTCCACTAACTGACCCAGCTCCCTGCCTATGTGCTGGGAAAGCAGTGGAGGTTGGTCCAGCTCCTTAGGTCCCTGCACCAGCATGGGAGACCTGGGAGGAAGCTCCTGGCTTTTGAGCAGCCCAAACCTGGCTGTTGTGGCCGCTTGGGCAATGAGCCAGGGGATAGATGATCTCGCTCCCTTCCTCTCCTCCCTGTGCTCTTAATGTAACTCTGTCTCTGCAATATAAAAAAATTAATTAATTATAATGGAGGTGACCAAAGCACTTGAGCCATCCCTGCTGCTGCCCGGAGTTGGAACTGGAAGCAGAGGCAGGCACTTGTCGGATAAGGGATGTGGGGTCCCAAGCGACATCCTAACTGCTTTGCCAAGCTGCCTGTTCCCTTTCTGAATCCAGAAACAGTGAGGTGTTTAAAAAGTAGTGTTGGGGGATAGAGCATTGGCTTGGCAGGATACTGTTTAGGATGCCCGTTAGTCCTTGGGTGTGACCGGCTTGTGACTCCAGTTTCCTGGTAATGCAAACCCTAGGAGGCAACAGGGTTGGCTCCTGCAGTGGTTCCTGTCTCCCGACCAGGTCCTGGCTCCTGGCTTCAGCCATTGTTGCCATGAAGGGGAGTGAATTAGTGTGTATGAACTTGGCTGCTCTCTTCCTCTGTTTCTCTGCCTCTCCAGTAAATAAGTAAACATGTAAAAATTGGTATAAAATGTGGCTATTTTTGACTAGGACTTCAATGGGAAGGAAAAGAAGCAGATAATAAACAGAAAAAGATCAAGTTTAAGGCAAAATCTCATTTGCCTATTTGGTCTCCCGAAGTCCACCAGGGTCAAGAGGAGATAAAGGGAGTCTGAGTGATCTTTCAGAGGTTGGTCAACAGTGACTGGGGAGGGTAGACATGTATTCACTGCGATATGCAAGATGAATACTCATTAATACCTACTCGATGTGTATTACTTCGTTGTTCCTCATGCAACTTCACGAGGGGGAGATTGTGAGCAGATGAAGTCATAGAGGCATGGAGAGGTTATGGCAGAAGCAGCTCAACGCCAGGGCCCAGGCTCTCAATCGAGTAGCCCAGCATTGCTGCTGCTAGTCTACTGGGGTCCCATGGTGTTGTCTTTAGTGGGAGAGCCAAGGAAGAAAAGGGGTCCTGTGCTGGTGGATGCAGCCTAGGTCTCAGGTGCACAGCACCAGCTGGAGTCCCCAGAAGAGCTCTGTTGGCCGCATCTGTACAGCAGGAACAAGCCCAGGTCTGTCCAGTCCCTGCTTCTGGCCACCTCCAGTCTCTCTGGCTACTTGGGTCAAGTCAAAAGAAGCCTTACACAGCACATCTAGGTGTCCCCAGGAAAGGGCTCAGAGTCTACCTCAGGGATTGGGGAGTCAACTAGAACAAAATACCCAGAGGCTCCAGACCCAATAGTTCATAGCCTCAGATGCAACGATACCTGTTTGGGAGGAAGCAGCACCAAGAAGCCCTCGCTACCCAGGACTGTGGGTGACATAGGCCGGGTGTCTAGAGGTCATGTCCTTCATAGGCTGGACCCTCATGCATATCATAGACAAGTCGCCTCCCCTCCCCTCTCCCCTCAGTCGAAAAGAGAGGTGCAAATGCCTGGCGGTGGCTGTCTCTAAGAGCCCCAAAGTCTCCTCTCTTTTCCATCAATTCGCAATAGCTGGCAGGCAAGGGATCCTCCCATCAGTGACCATGTTTCCACTTCCTGCCCTACCCCAACAGGCAACAGAACTTATTAGACAATGGCTGCGTTGACAGTATGCCCCCACTCTGCTCTGCCCCCTACCATGGCCCGACTGCCTCTTACCTTGGCCTTTTGGGTCATTTTCTCCAAGGGGTCCTCCTGCTTCGTCCTGAGAGCCCAGTTCTCCACTGCCCTGTTGGGTTAGCACACAGCAGACAACAATGAGAACCCCCAACAACTGCAAGTGCTGCTGTACTCCAGGCCCCGGGTTCAAGGGACCCAGCTTTCTTAGTTGCTCCATCTGCTTGGTCCCCATTTTCCACCTGCAGTGGGCAGGGAGGCCTCAGGGAGCTACTGATAGGTTCCTGGCTGTACTTGAAGTGATGGGTCTTTGCCTCACTGATCTGCATGGTGGTCCAGAGGAGGTGGAAGTTTACTGGGTGGTGGGAATAAGAGCCAGGTGGCAGGAGGAAGCAGGGCACCTCTTGGAATCCCTGGGAAGTCTGGCATGACTGGAGCAGATTGAGAGATGGGGAGTGGGGCAGGGTTTCAGACTCCAAAGGTCTTGCCCACAGGTTAGGACTTGGAACTTTGCCTGAAGGACCCATGGAAGGCACTGAGGCTTGAGGACAGGCAGCCACGGGGTCAGGTGCTTTGGAGTCAGTCAGGCTCTTCGCTGCATGCCTCAGGGACTACAGCTTGTATCTCTCCTCAACATTTGGTGCTGTCTTCCTTCTCCTGCAGCTTGCAAGTTGACCACAGGGTCACCACCCAGAAGTCTCTGTAACAGTTTTCAACCCTGGCCACCCATTCAAATAATTTAAGGACTTTATGAAACAACATGATTCCCTCAACGTGATACAAAACAACAAAAAAATTAGACTCTGGGGGCTGGTGCTGAAACGAAGCCTCTGCTTGCGGTGCCGGCATCCCATATGTGCGATGGATCGAGTTCTGGCTGCTCCACTTCTGGTCTGGAAAAGCAGAAGACTGCCCAGATCTTTGGACTCCTGCACCCACGTGGGAGACCCAGAAGTTTCTTGCTCCTGGGTTTGCTCTGGTCCAGCTTTGACCATTGCAGTCATCTGGTGAGTGAACTAGAAGATGGATGATTCTCTCTGTCCTTCTCTCTCTCTCTAATTCTGCCTTTCAAATGAAAATAAAATAAATCTTTGAAGCAAAATCAGACTCTGGAAGTGGGGTGAAGTTTCTGAGGTGATCCAACATGGAGCTGGGATGGGAACAGCTTCCTAGCAGCCTAGGTGGCATGGCAGGTGAACTTGGTGACCCAGAACAGCACCATGCATCTGATGAGGCTTCCCTCATGTCACTCAGCCCACCAGCCACAGTGACACATCTGGCCTGTAACATGCAGGGCTCTGGGCATCTCTGCTGGGTCACCCTGCTCTTCTAGACACAATCACAGCTTTGCTCTCTCACCAAGTGCCATCCTACATTGCGAGGGGTCATGCCTTTCCTAGCCCCTAGGCCCCTCCGACTTCCTGCCCTTGCCACCTTTTTACCCAGGATGCTGCTCACTGGTTTGATTAGTGTGAGCCACTGATGTACAAAAGCTACAGTAGGTCAATAATTTTCCTTCCTTTGGGCTTCTCCTTTTGGAGACAAAGCCAATTTGGTTGTGGCATAAACCAGATCCATTTTAGAAGAAATGGAAATATTTAAGGAAAAAAAATATTGCAAGGAAACTTGCCTCAGTCACAGTAAATTACTTATGCAAAAGCCTGGAAGAGAGAACAAATATTTGAGAGTCCCTGTTTATAAAGTTTTTTCATCTGAAAGGAAATTGGATGAAAAGAGAGAAGCAGGCTTCATCCCTTGCAGGAATTTTGAAGTCCAGAAGGATAAACCTTGAGTCTCAGCAACTCAAAGCTATCTACCAGCTTCTGGGAGCAAGAACAATGGCCATCTTTCAAAAATTCATGGAAAACGTGCATTCTGAAAATGGGATTGCAATTTTTTTTTGGCACTGAAATAAACTTAGCACTTAATTATGTTTTTTCATGTACTTAAAAAAATTATCAATTTGTTTATTGTCATTTTATTTGGAAGGCAGAGAGAGACAGACACAGAAAGAGTTTTTATCAGCTGGTTCACTTGAAACACCTGCAACAGCCAGCTAGAGCCAGGTTAGACTGAAATCGGGAGACCAGAACTCCATCCGGGTCTCCCATGTAGGTGGCAGGGACCCAGGTGCTTGAGCCATCACGTGCTGCCTGCCGGGATGTGCGTTAGCAGGAAGCAGGACTGGAAGCAAGGTGCCTGGCCCTGAGCTAGGCACTCCCATCTGGGATGCAGGTGTCCCCAGCAGTGACTCCATTTCTGCACCAATGCCTATACCTTCCTGCTCCTTTGGAAATGACTCACAGTCTCATTTCCCAGTCGGGAAGATAGAGGCAGAAAAAGTTAGGGATCCGGAAAGAATCTTCAGTTGAATATTTGTTAGGAAAAAAAATCCTTATTTGATATCCTATCCATTTAGCTATATGCTGCTTAGAAAAATATCAAAAACCTCTTACTTTTGAGCTATATGAACACATGTGTGAAGCAATTTGTATTGAAGCGCATCCATTCATTACTAAAGATTGGAAACAACCCTAAATGCCTTTCAACTGAGGACTATAGAAAACTTTGCTAATTTATACCATGGGATACTATGTAGCCATTCAAGAGAAATAGACTTTTCTTTATGGATTAATATGGAAAGAATTCCAGGAAACACCAAGCCAAAAAAAAAATTGTAAGATTCTGAACAATGTGTCTAATGTGCAAACATGTGCAGAAAATGTGCATTTGTGTTTGCTTCCATGAAAACATGCATCGCACAGCTGCAGAAAGCCTGGCCCTGGCAAGAGAGGTTGTCTGAGGGAACTGAGCGACTGGGACATTCCCTGTTTTATACTCAAAAATTTTAAAAGCTGCTGAGACTCTTTCAGACTCAAAATTTGGATTTAACAAACCAAAGCTAAACAGAATCCTGTCATTTTTTTTTTTATATGAGTGACGAATGCAGTCACAACCCAAGTGACTGGAACAGCGCTAAGACAAGTTGAATGCTGTCCCCAGAAGTGACTTGGGATTTCATGGATTTGGGAACATTTACATATACATGAGACATCTTGGAGATGGGGCCCCAATCTAAACACAGGATTCATTTCCATCTCATAAACATTTTACACACATGGTGCGTTGGTGACTTTGTACCATGGTTTTTGTGAGTGTTGACTGCAGTGTGAGATCAGATGTGAAATTCTCCACTTGAGTCATACAGTACTCAAGAGGTCTGGGATTTTCAGATTAGGAACGCTGAGCGTGCAGTAGCTGGAGAGAGGGTGAAATGGAGAGAGTGAAAATGTAAATTCTAGCTCTGTCGCTTGGCTCTTCACTGTGGTTTAGATAATTTAGGTGTCCCAAGGGTCCAGGATTAGGAGTGGAGTCCCTAGGGCATGCTACTGGGAGGAAGCAGGACCTGTGTGTGTGTGTGGGGGGGGGGTAGTGGTGCATGGTGGGAGGTACATATGGTGATGTACACACACTCACACACACTCATGCCCCATTGCACTCCAGGACAAACCAATGCCCACCTTGTCTGATCTGGGATTTTAAACCTCAAAAGCTGTAAGTAAACCCTTTTCTGCATAAAGTTAATGGCCTCGGGTATTTCATTGCAGTAACAGGAACCTCACTAACATCCATCTTCTGTTCATCCAGCTGACGAGCTTTATAGAGGGCCTGCTGCATCATGCCAACCACAAGGGGCACACAAAGATGACAGATCTGTGTCTTTCGAGCTCCCTGACCCCTGGGGAAATGACAAGAAATTTCACAGTGGCCATGCAGTGTGACAAATATGGAGGCAGACAATAACAGGTGTCTGCCAGGCAGTGCTGAGCCTTGCAGCAAAGGGAAGGTAGACCTGTTCCCAGCAGAGGAAGCAGCCATGTCGGTGAGGGAGACTTACATGTGGCTGTAATGTGTGGGCAGTGGGGATTTGATAAGACCCACATCTTGCAAGCTGCAGCTTGTAGGTTTTTTTTTTTTTTAACTCTGCATTTAAAAAGATATTTTCTTTGGAAGAAAAATACATCGTTGATAGTGGGAAGGTCTTGGGGATATGGTGAAGAGTGTTGAAGAGTGTTGGCAAACCAGTGGGAGGACTAAACTAGGTTTCAACAGAGCACCCACGGCAGCGCGGTCTAACAGGCCGGAGCAGGGGGAGGCTGTTACTCTGCCAACTGCACATACGAATGCTGGTTCTAGAGCTGCTGGGAGTAAGATCCTGTCCAGGTGTCCTAACTTAGGCACTTGACATGCTGTGTATCCTAGTGGTTACTGAACAGCTGAATCTCAGCTTGTCTACTGTCCCCTGCCCCCAATCCCACCATCCAAACCTCTACCATCACACTTAGCATCCCTCGAAAACTCCAGGCCCACAGCAGCCTAGAGAGACCCAGAGGTCAGAGTAGTGCAGGATGCAGAAATCAACAGGAGGGATTCCAGCCTGTCTCCAGCTAGTTGGCATGACTTATCATTGGAGCTCAGCTTCCTCGTCTGTGAAATGGGAGTGGTGCCAAAGATTGCACTGAGTTCCTGGAAGGCTTAGCCAGGAAAATACCTTTGGAAATTCCATGTAACAGATTGCATGACACACACACATAAACGACTATGCTCTCTTAATAATGGAAGAAAATCATATCCCATTTGAATGTATCAACTTCAGGTGGTGTAAGTTTTCAAAAGACCTCATGGACTTAAAAAAAATTGTTTATTTTATATGGAAAGGCAGACTTACCGAGATAGAAAGACACACACACAGAGGCAGATATTTTCCATCTACTGGTTCACTAGTTAAATGGCTGCAACATCCAGAGTTGAGCTGATCTGAAGCCAGGAACCAGTAACTTCTCTGTGTCTCCCATGTGGGTGCATGGACCCAAGGACCTGAGCCATCTTCCACTGCTTTCTCAGGCCATAGGTAAGGAGTTAGATCAAAAGTGGGACTTCCAGGGCATGAACCAATGGCCCATATGGGATGTTGCTGCCACAGATTAAGGATTAACTTGTTATGCTACCATGCAGGCCCCGTGGCTCGTCTTTAGTGAAAAAAGAAAATTGGCAGAATCCTAAGGTATTGTGTGAGATCAAGATGGAAATACATCATCAACTCTCGGTTCTCGTATCGCATTCTGAAGGCAGAACAAAGACGTGTAATTAAATTCTTCCTAGGAATCGAGCAGATAGATCCCAGAGACAGCAGGTGCCTCGGGCTCTGTGGCTTTAAATCCCAGCTCCCTCCGCTGTCAGCCATGTCTCCGACGATCTCTGTGCCTCAGTTTCTTCATCTGCACCGTGGGGTTTGGCACAGTAACCAGAAAGGCGGGTGAAAAGATGAAATGATCTTCAATCTGTGAGGGCCTGGCCCGTGGCAGGCATCAGTGGCTGTTTGTTCCTTTCTCCCTTGTGAATTGAGTTCTTTATAGATGTGAACGGTCTTTGAAAATGCTGATTTCATAGAAGGCTCACCTCACTGGTGAGAGGCCGGCACGGAGGTCCCAGTATTATTATCTCTGCTTTATTAGGGAGCGACAAGGTCATTCAGGGTCAGAGAAAGCCCGGGCTTTACCAACTACTGGTCAGGCACCTTAAGATAGAGAATGCACCACTTAATGCCGGGCCTCTGTTAGGAAATGCAGCCGACTCGATATCCCGAGGCCCTTTCTTGGAAATGGTATACTGTGCTCCTGGATTCATTAGGTCCAGCGAGCAGCCCAGGATCCCTCTATAACTGTCTGCCAGCTAGTCAACAAAGCAAGTCTCCATGATGCTGGGAACCAGAACTTAGCTCAGCAGCAGTGCCCTCCATCTTTGGACCACAAAGCCAAGCACTATTTCCGGGTTGCTTTCAGTCTTTACCACCTATGTGGTGCATCCCTGAAGTGACCCAAGACCCAGTGGCAGTGGCAGCCATCCTGTGTGCTTGCTGCCATGTACTGGCACTTACTTGCCTGGGCAAAACCCGAGACCAATCTGACTCAAAAACAGGCAGCTCCATGCTTTAAGTGCAGGCATACCTAGCTTTCATGCCCATGTTCAGGCAGTTTTCTCTGCCCACCCTGCAGCTGAGGGCATATGTGCCTGCCTGTGACAGCTGCGTGGTAGGACACTCATATCTACCTCCTCACATTGGGCATAACCCATGTCCCTTTGGCATCAGTTATGTTTACTGAAATCTATGCCTGATACAAGCAGGGTGTCCTCTAACATGGACGAGTCATGTTGCCTTCAGTGCTCTAAGAAGGTTCTTCTATTGCTTTTTTATTTTCTAAGATTCATCTATTGTTCTTGGAAATGCAGATTTATAGAGAGGAGATACACCGAGGAAGATTTTCCATCTGCTGGTTCACTCCACAAGTGGCCGCAATGCTGAAGCTGATCTGATCTGAGGAGCCAGAAGCCTCCTCCAGGTCTCCCATGTGGGTGCAGGATCCCAAAGCTTTGGGCCATCCTCTATTGCTGTCCTAGGCCGCAATCAGGAAGCTGGATGGGAAATGGAGTAGCTAGGACAAGAACCGGCATCCTTATAGGATCCTGGCACTTGCAGGAGGAGGATTTGTCCACTAAGCCACTGTGCCGGGCCTTGTAAGGAGGTTCTTAAACTTCATATGTTGCAACTGAGAAATGATTGAGTGAGAAATGAATGAGTCTCCCCCACAGCCACCTCTACCTACCTCTTCCACACCTCCTATGTTGATATGGCTCATTTCATTGTTCAGTTTTAGAACATAGGCTCTTCAGAATGTCAAGGGTGGAGATGATCCATGCTTGCAATCCTTGGAGCTTAGCACATGTCTGATATGTAGACTATGCTCCATACGTGCTGGCTAAAGGGAAATGGATGATATCTTGGAGAGACGAGAGACAACTCTTCAGAGTTCTAGCAGAGACTTCCAAGTTTCAGTGAATCTGCCAGCTGACTGCAGACACGCATGCACAGGGGTGGTAGTGTTGAGGGATGCCTGCATGCTTGGTTGACAAGGAAGGCAGTGCTTCTGCTGGCTGCATTCCAGTTGGAAATCTGTTAGCTGTTGGTTTTGGACTGAGTGTGTGGGCTCCGGAGCTGGGTTGCCTGGCTTTGAGTGTTGTTTCTGCCATGCAGCAACTTGCATCTTCACCAAAAGATCTGACCGTTGAGTTTTCTCATGAAACAGGACAAAGGCATCTGCTTCTTCATTCATCACAAGAGTTCAGTGGGTGCATGCATATGAAACTCAGAGCCTGGCATGCAACAAGAGCTTCAGAAAGCTGCAGTTACGGTAATCTGCATCTTTTCCCATCTCCTTCCTCTATCTGCATCTTTCCTATTGTGTGCTGTCACCTGTGACATGCCATGCTTCTGATCTGTACACAGACAAAAATAAAGTGCTCTGTGGATGGGCAGGAGATGCATGAATGAAACATATGGATGACATGCATTTGCCCAGCCCTGCAGGGGAAGGACAGCCCATGTGCTCTGCTCTGCATTTATTGTCCTTGCCTGCACGACCCCAAGACTGCCTTTCTCCAAGCCATCCTTGAGAACCTGGGAGCTGCCACATAAGGAGAGCTGTAAGCACTGAATGCCCCAGAGAGAGCTGTGGCCTCTCAGCCAGGGACTGACCAGGGGTATAGGAGGCTGAGTGCAAGCTCTGAGAGCCCTGTGGAGTCATACTACATGATCATGTCCATGTCTTCAAGAGGGTAGGCTGGAAAATGGGGCTGAGAAATGACAACTCCCTTCCCTCCTGTAGTGCTGCGTCAAAGTTGCTGAACAAAAGGTGAACACAAATTGCATTGAAAAATTATTGTAAAATTGCCTTTTCTGAATTCTACGGTTTTTGGATGCTGTAAGTAGAAATCTCATATCCCTATCTGCACAACTGTCACTGTCAAGATGCTCTACACTTTAATGATCTGTTCAGTGTCTGTCTGCTGCACTAACCTAGGGCAAGTCAGGCCTCCCGGACTATTTGGTTCACTGATGTATTCCAAGGACCCAGCATGTGCGAGACACGTAGTAAGTAGCAGGTGCTCAAATACTGGTTCTATGAATGAACAGTACAGGAGATGACATCACCTCTTCAGGAAAAAATCAACCATCATTCTTTTAAGTGCTAAGGGAAGAACGAATCTATTGCTTGGGAGGGCTCCACTGATGTAATAGAGCTTGGCCATATTATCTTTCTGAATACTTGAAACAAACATCAGTTGTCTTGTTGCTCAGAATGATTCTTTCTTTTTTGCACTTTTAAGGCCCTATTTCCTTTGTGAGACACCTATTCTACAACTGTGTGGCTCCCGGGTGGGCCAATGATGCTACATTTGGGCTTGGGCATGGGAGCCAGGAGGTCCAGCTTCCTGCTCTGGAGTAACCTGGGGAAGAAGGGCTGCTGCCAGACTGTCCTGCTGGAGAGAAGCCTCCCTGAGTGAAGCCCAGGAAAGCAGGGCTCAGTGGAGAAACAGGCTATTCAGGCAGATGCATGGCTGTTGACCAAAGCTACACCTTGTGAAACTGGAATGGGGGAAGCCCTGAGAAGGTAAACCCAAGACGTCTGGATTGGCTGAGGTCTAAAGCCTGATGCTAAGACTTGCACTCTTCCCACCAGTTTGCTAGCTAGCACCACCATCAGGAATTCCACAAGGGTTTGGTCACCTCTCCCTGTTTCTGTCTGAGCCGCTTCTGATCAAAGGCCTGTGATGGTGGCCCTTGGGATAATAGGAAGGCTCTGTGGTCCTTCCAGGCCTGGCTAGGTCCCCTTAGTGATTTATGGCTGCTTATTTCCAGTCCAGGAACCTCTGAGGAAGGCAAAGAAGGGGGGTCCTAAATCAAAGGACTATGGGATGACAAGGGTGGGCCAACGGGCACCTCTCATGTGGCATGTACCAGTGCAGGAGGCAGGCTTGCAAAGACAGACAAACGGCACCCTCCCCACAGGGACCCTCTGTACCCTTACGCAGAAGTGAAGTGGAGCTTAGGAGATCAATGAGCTCTTAGAGAATAGAAGACAAGACCAGCCCTCCTGGAAGAGAATTCGCAGCTGACGACTTCTAAATAGTTAGCCCAAGAAGAATCTGTCTTCCCCACAGTGGGACTCCGGCTCCACCGAGTTGCAGGGGTAGAGCAGTACCCCATTATTTCAACGACTATGAGAGCAAATGAATTCCATGTGCCAGTGCCATGAGGCGGTTCAAAGTTACTCTTTCTCCTCTCTGTTCCATGTCCCCCCCGCCACCCAAACCAGACACCCAACTGATTTGTCCCCGATGGCTGGCTGTGATTACTGTCCTAATTTGTTCTTTCTTCATGTGCTACAGACTGCCTATTTTCTGTCCCTTCTGATAAAGCCAGAGCTCTGGGGGACTTCTGAGGCTGTTTTTTTTTTTTTTGTACCATGCAGAAGTGTATTAACTGGCATTCCTGTGTCTGTGTCTATAAAACCCCTCGTCGGCTCAGTGTGAGACCACCTTCAGGAACGGCGTCATGTCGATGTGCAGCTTGCGCGTGGAAAATTCTTTGCTGTTTGAACATATCGGCCCTTTATTTATACAACTTTGAGGCTCTCCCGTCTTCTGAGCCGCTGCCTCCAAGGACTGCTGGGCTCCCTGTGAAGACAGGCAGAGAGCTCAACTTTCACAGGAAGGCTACCTGGTGCAACCAGAGCAGCCCGCAGCCCCCAATATTTATAGAAAGCAATTCTTCACCATTGGAACGCTAATAACCGCACCAATTTGTACCATCCGGGATGTAGTGTGTGTGTGTGTGTGTGTCGGGGGGGGTGGACCAGAGGGAAAGATTTGAGATTGGCTAATAATTAATACCTGGGAAAGTGGGGAGAGGGTCTCAGGTTGGAGTGATTTCCTTGAAACCTCATGACAACTCCGGGAGGCTGGTATGGTTACCCCCATTTTCACAGATAAGGAAACTGGGAGGCTCCAGGAGGTTAAGCAATTTGCCTAAAGCCATTATTGCATATGTGGGAGTGGTCACGTCCCATATCTGCCTAAGCCTCCCTTTGCAGTGAGATCACTGGGATGCTTCTATGGCTCCCTCATGCTTACTGCCCCACCTGGGTGAAGCTAAGGTATGGCAAGATTCCGGGCTAGTTCTGAGCTGAGCTTGTGAGGGGTGCTTAAGGAAGATTGACTGAGTGAGTGGCGTGGATAGGAAGGAAGAACGGGCTAGCAGAGGAGCTTGGGAGGGGAGGGGGGGCAGAGAAGGGGGAAGGGTTTGCTCTTTGGAGTGCATCTTTTCAAAATGCAAATGACCAGGTCCCCTTCCTACTGAAAGCCCTCAGGAAGGAGGCCAGCTGGCTTGCAAGGTTCACCAAGCCCTTTTTGCCCAGCTTTGGACTCTCTCTCCTGCCTTGGCCAGTCACTGCACACCTTGAGCAGGGTGCATGTGCTTGGCCAGGCAGAATAGAGAAGTCCACATTGACAGGAGGTGAACACTCCTGCCCTTGCAGTGTGCACGCCTAACCACTGGCTAGGGAAGGAAGGTGAGAATTAGCACATAAGAGAAGCTCAAAGGGGCAGGCCTTCCTTTCTTTCCTCTGTGGGGAACACTGTTCCCCTTCAGCACCTCCTCAGCCTTCAGCTCTGGCTTGCCTGGGTCCCTGAGATGTCCCAGAGACCTGAGCGCTTTCTGTTCCTTGCCACAAGGGTCCTTGAGGGTGAGCAGCCATTTCTCCTTCCCACTGAGTTGAGGCAGGCAGCCCAGCTCTCCTGCTCCCACACCCTCCTCCCTGACAGTAACTGCCAGGACACACACACTGGACACCCATTTGCAGAACAGAAGAGCACCGGAGACAGGAGCCCCACCATAGTCACTGCCTTCACGGGGCGGTGCGCGGTGAGGATGGTAGGGGAGTGGGGTGTGTGTGTTTCTCCTTCCCAAAGATGCTGGATTTGCTATGTTCCCTGCAATCACCCTGGGTGTGTAGTTGGCCACGTCCCCGTTTTCTGGAAGGCTAGCTCTCAGCTGGCCATCTTTCCAGGCAGCCTGAAGCTCTCCCTTCCGCTACATTTCTGTTACTTGTGAGTGTTGGTGATGCATTAGCCATTGGCGGGGGTCCCACAGGCGGCCATGATTCCAGTGAGCATCCACACCCTTTTCCTTTGTTTCGAAATGTGGCTAGGGATTTTTCCGGACACATAAATATCCCGTATTGGGTCATCCCAGCTGTATATCTGATAAACTTGTCGGAGTGAGGCAGCCCCTCCCTGCTTGTAGACCAAATGAAAGCTTAGTTGGGTCCAAGTGAGAATCAAAGTATTCCAAGCTTTCTAGCCTTCGCAACCACGCATGAATCACTGAGTAGAATAACAGCAATCAGACGATGCTGTTTTGAAGGAAATCTCTGCATCATCCCCAGGAGAAGATTTTGTGTTAGGCTGCAAGAACAAAAGGCCTAGCCAGGATCCATTGCATTGGCTGGAATTACTTTAACTCCTTACGGGCTTGGGGCGTGGGCCCAGATGGAGGAGTGGGGAGTAGAGGGGCTCTCAGAGCAGTCCTTCTAAACCATTCAAACTATAAATCTTTGTGAAACAATTCCCTCGCCAGGATGGCTCATCTCCCCGATGTCCAGGAGGCCATCAATTCTAGCTGGATGGGGTTTTCAGAGAAGGCACTATAGCTGGGAGAATGTACAGTGCTGGTTTGTTTATTGTGCTCAAGTGTTCTAGAAAAAAAAAGACAGTGAAAGGAGGAGGGGTTGTGGGGAAGAAAGAAAACATGAAACAGAGAGAGAGAGAGAGGATTGGAGGTGATGGTAAAAGGTAATAGAAATACTGAGACCAGGAAAGGAAGGCTTGGGCATGGTGACTCTTCACTCGTTACACTGGGATGTACTGAGTGGCCTTGTGAGGGTTGGACAAATGACATAGGCGGGATGACTTGGGACAGTGGCTAGTCCAGAAAGACAACGCAGTGGTGACAGGGTGAAGGGCAGTGGGGAGTGGTGGCGACCTGCCTGTTGCTGGTCAGGGAAGGTCTGTCTGAGGAGGTGACATTGGAACAGAGGGCTGGATGACCAGAGGGAGCCAGGCATGGGTAGATCTATGTTTAGCAATCAGTGTAGCCCAGGTCCCTGTGGGCGGTTCACTTGGAGGTAAACCCAGGCAGGGGTTCTTTGCAAAGGAAAGCAGAACGCCTGACCTCTAGGTTGACTCTGCCCTGGCCTCCTGGACCTCATCCCTGACTCTGGGAGGCGTCCCTCCTGCTTTCTGAGTGGCTGAGCCGCCACACCCGACACTCCTGGGTATGCAGAGACCTAGCACAGCAGAACAGAGAGTGGCCAGAAGTCCAGGGCTCTGTGGGCAGAGGACAGAGATGGAAAAACAAGGTGAAGTAGAAGGAAGCCGGAAGAAAACAGAGATGCCAATACTTTTTTTTTTCCTTTTATGTGCAGATTTTCGTGGGAATGATGAAAAAAAAAAAACTGATGGAAGGGTGAAATGTTTAGCAGAGCATCAAAACTCATCCCTTCACCTGCAAGGTATTGTAAATACTTTAATATTTTTATGCTTTGCTAAAGACACCTGGGAGCCTTTCCCTTTAGTAAATGAAACAATAAAGATTAATGAGCTAATTTGGTAAAGCTGATTTGGATTGCACAGAAGGCATTGCGCAAGCGCTTGGCATTTAAAAAGTTATCTGACATTTAAAAGGAGACAACTGTTAATGAATTCAAGAGCTAATCTTATACTCTGACCGAGTGAGCCATGGAAAATCCAGGATTATTATCTTGCTGTAAACATCATGTGATTTAGTTGAGCCATCAAAAGAGAGCTATCAGCTGTGCATAAACACATACACACAATGTAGCACCTTGGAGGACTTCCACTCAGATTAAATGGGTACCTTCCCCTTTCCTTCCTTATGCTTGGACTCTAAGAGCTAAACCCCAGTCTTGGAAGAAACCCTATTTCCCCAGCAGTTTTCCTCTTTTTCCCAGCTTGTGTGTTCTGTAGGGCCATTGCCAGGGTTGGCGCCACAAGAAGCACATGAGGTTCCAAACTCAAGACTAGGTCCCCACCCATGGGCCCCACAGAACCACCAAAGATACAGATCTGTGCTGGAGGCATCCTGCAGGTTCCCCCCTTTCCTTCTCCCACTCCTTTCTAATTGGGGTTCCCCATCTTTGTAGCTGCCGCTTAATGGCTCCAAGAAGAGCTATTGTCCCTCATTAAGGCCGTGGCAACACTCTGGCTAGCCAAGTGCCTCCCACACAGCTCACAGCTTCTTTTTGCTGGAGAGCGAGCTGCCAAGAGTACCTGGGAACCTGTGGGCAGGCTGGGCTGCAGGGAGGCCACTGAGGGAAGGAGGGCTGCTGTGGCCAGGAGTGGACTAGTGCTAGTCTTGGGGCAATAGTGTACACGGGAAGGAGGCTGCCACTGAAGCCCCTGCATGGGCGTACACAGGACGTGTATCTCTATGAGCAAATAAAGGGAAGAATCAGGTTTCCCTTCTGGGAACCAGGCTCCCCTTTTAGGCCAGAAGTGTTTCTGCATCTCCCTTGGGGTTCCAGCAGGGACAGAGATCTCAGAAATTGAGTTGCACAGCCTGTGTGGGATGGGGTTGGGATGGAGCTGGGGTGGGGGAGTGAGAGAGGTGTGGTGGGGACAGGAAGCAGTGGGGCTGGGATTCTCTCAGCCCCTGGCAAGGGCAGACAGCTCAAGAAGCTGCTCTGGCTCTCTCAGATTTTGCTATTTCTTGACCATGGCAGCCTAGGCACCCAAAAGTGGGCAGCAGAAAGGGGCAGGGGTGGGGCTGGAGGGCACCTGGAGTTCTGCTGTGGTCAGGATGCCTGAAGGAGGGCAGGGTGATGGTGGGCCGGGGTGGGGATGGGGGTTCTGTCTGCACTGTTCACCTCAAGCTGCTTGGGAGGGGGATGAGGCACACTCAGGGTCTCCACTCTAACCCCCCACCTGCCGGCTTAGCCCCTGCAGAGAGCAGAGGGGACCTCAAGCTCTCCTGGGGCCCCATGCAGCTTGAAGGTGCCCCAACCATTCTCTGGCCACTCCCTGTGGGCCCCTGGCGCACTTCTTAAAGCTGCAAAGTAATGTGGTGGTGAGGTGGGTGCGGTGCAGCAGGAGGCTCCTCTAGTTAGGCGGGGTGGAGACAGCGTTTGGTCAGCAGCCATTTTCACACCTCTGCTCTATGGAAGGAGATTTTCCATTCCCCTGAGGGGTCAGCAAGGCAGCTGGCATGCAATAGCCTAAGCCAAGCAATGCAGCAAATGTCTAGTCCTAGCTAGCGCCAGGGACTGCGTTTGGTGGCTCTTGCCATGCTAGTCATTGTTCTGGACTTCAGCTTCCCTACCATGAAAATGGGGCCAAGTCATTGCTGCCCTTAGGGAGATTGTGAGCGACGGGACATGGACCATGTCTGGGAGGGGTTCTTAGCCATGCTGCTAGCTGATACAGTCCTCCGTTTAATTATAGGCTTGTGGACACAGCGGAGTTCTCTCTGGATCAGCAGGAGCTGGGGAGGAACTCAGAGCCAAGAGTGATCTCCTGTGCCCCAAGGGAGGCAGCGACCTGCTGTTCTCAGGGAGGGGCACGGGAAGGGACCCCAGGCTGAACCCCAAGGTGTGAGACTT